CAGGCACGAGATGCTGACCCGTGGGTCACAACTCCGAAAGTGGAAACTTGGGGGGTTGGCAGGATACTTCCAAATTCACAGTGTTTGCTCGGGTAGGGCCCCCGATACCCTACATGCGTCGGAAACTCTGCCGGAAACCTGGAAGAGGCCTATGGGGAAGTCGAGCAAAATCTGTCCAAAATGCCAAAATCAGGCACGAGAGGCTGACCCGTGGGTCATAACTCCGAAAGTGGAAACTTGGGCGGTTGGCCGAATACTTCCAAATTCTCAGTGTTTGCTCGGGTAGGGCCCCCGATACCCTACATGCGTCGGAAACTCTGCCGGAGCCCTGGAAGGGGCCAATGGGGAAGTCGAGCAAAATCTGTCCAAAGTGCCAAAAATAGGCCCGAGCTGCTGACCCGCGGGTCACGACTCCGAAAGTGGCAAAATTGGGCGGTTGGCATAATGCTTCCAAATTCACAGAGTTTGCTCGGGGAGGGCCCCCGATACCCTGCTTGCCTCGGAGCCTCTGCCGGAGGCCTGGAAGGGGTGCCTAGGGAAGTCGAGCAAAATCTGTCCAAAATGCCGAAAATAGGCCCGAGCTGCTGACCCGCTGGTCAAGACTCCGAAAGTGGCAAAACTGGGCGGTTGGCAGACTGCTTCCAAATTCACAGAGTTTGCTCGGGGAGGGCCCCCGATACCCTGCATGCCTCGGTGCCTCTGCTGGAGCCCTGGAAGGGGTGCCTGGGGAAGTCGAGCAAAATCTGTCCAAAATTCCAAAAATAGGCCCGAGATGCTGACCCGCGGGTCACGACTCCGAAAGTGGCAAAATTGGGCAGTTGGCAGAATGCTTCCAAATTCACAGAGTTTGTTCGGGGAGGGCCCCCGATATCCTGCATGCCTCGGTGCCTCTGCCGGAGCCCTGGAAGGGTTGTCTGTGGAAGGTGGGCAAAATCTGTCCAAAATGCCAAAAACAGGCCCGAGATGCTGACCCGCGGGTCACGACTCCGAAAGTGGAAAATTGGGCGGTTGAAGGAATACATCCAAATTCACCCTGTTTGCTCGGGGAGGGCCCCTGATACACTACATGCATCGGAAAATCTGCAGGAGCCCTGGCAGGGGCCTATGGGGAAGTCGAGCAAAATCTGTCAAAAATGCCAAAAATAGGCACGAGATGCTGACCCGCGGGTCACAACTCCGAAAGTGGCAAAATTGGGCTGTTGGCAGAATGCTTCCAAATTCACAGAGTTTGCTCGGCTAGGGCCCCCGATATCCTGCATGCCTCGGTGCCTCTGCCGGAGCCCTGGAAGGGTTGTCTGTGGAAGGTGGGCAAAATCTGTCCAAAATGCCAAAAAACAGGCGCGAGATGCTGACCCGCGGGTCACAACTCCGAAAGTGGAAAATTGGGCGGTTGAAGGAATACTTCCAAATTCACCTTGTTTGCTCGGGGAGGGCCCCCGATACACTACATGCATCGGAAAATCTGCCGTAGCCCTGGCAGGGGCCTATGGGGAAGTCGAGCAAAATCCGTTTAAAATGCCAAAAATAGGCCCGAGATGGTGACCCCCTGGTCACAACTCCGAAAGTGGAAAAATTGGGCGGGTGGAAGAATACTTCGAAATTCACAGAGTTTGCTCGGGGAGAGCTCCTCATACCTGCATGATTCGGTGCCTCTGCCGGAGCCCTGGATGGGGTTTCTTGGGAATGTGGGCAAAATCTGTCCAAAATGCCAAAAACAGGCCCGAGATGCTTACCGCGGGTCACGACTCCGAAAGTGGGAAAATTGGGCGGTTGGCAGAATACTTCCAAATTCACAGAGTTTTCTCTGGGAGGGCCCCAGATTCCCTGCATACCTCGGTGCCTCTGCCGGAGCCCTGGAAGGGGTGTCTGGGGAAGGTGGGCAAAATCTGTTAAAAATGCCAAAAATAGGACCGAGATGCTGACCCCCGGGTCACAACTCCGAAACTGGATAAATTGGGCTGGTGGAAGAATACTTCCAAATTCACAGAGTTTGCTCGGGGTGGGCCCCCGATACCCTACATGCGTCGAAAACTTTGCTGGAGCCCTGACAAGGTCCTATGGGGAAGTCGAGCAAAATCTGTCCAAATTCCGAAAATAGGCCAGAGCTGCTGACCCGCGGAACATGACTCCGAAAGTGGCAAAAATGTGAAGTTCGCTTAACGCTTCCAAATTCACAGAGTTTGTTCGGGGAGGGCTCCCAATACCCTGCATACCTGGTTGCCCCTGCCGGAGCCCTGGAAGGGGTGTCTGGGGAAGGCGAGCAAAATCTGTCCAAAATGCCGAGAAAAGGGCCGAAATGCTGACCCGCGGGT